AGGAAACTGAGATGCAAAGAAGTTAATTAACCTGCGTGTGTTCACACTTTGGGTGGCTGATCTAGGCCCACCAAAGCCCTCTCACTTCCACAACAGTAGTGAGTGAGTGATAACAGGGAGGATCTCACTTTCCCTGGTCCTGAGCACGCCTCTCATTAACTCCCACCAGTTGTGTCATATTTCTCCCATGTCCTCCAGCCCTTTCTCTATACCTTAGCAACATAAGGCATTTATCTTTCACTGTGGACAGTGAATGCTGCTAGCTGTCCTGAACACAAGTTGACAGAGAAAAGCTTGATCAAAAAGAATCAGTATTCCCTTGAGTCTAAGATGTACATGCTTTTCATGTTTAAATATTTTGAAAAGAGAGATGTCTTACAACTGATAAATATATTTGATGCTCTGGATTCCCCGCCTCCCCACCCCCCAAAAAAAGAAATGGCTCTTAAATGGATGATTTATCTTGAAACTGATGACATTTAAAAGCCCAGGAAGCATGGTCTATGCTTTATATCTGTCATCTGTCAACCTCACCCTCAATCCAGGTAAGCCTAGTATAGTGCCTGGCATATAGTAGGTACTCAAAAACAATTTTTGTTGAATGAATATATGACTGTATGAATATATAATTATATGTATAAATAATTCAATGAGGACATGTATTCTCCTCCTTCACATTTATCTTTCTTCCTTCAGATATACTTGTGAATACCAGTTAATGAACTGCTTTTAGGAAATAGGAGGAAATTGACTTTACCATGGGAACTAAGTGTGGTAAATTCTTTGCATTGTATATAATTATTATTGTGTTATTTTTAAGTTTAAAATATCTGGATCTCAGAACCTTACTTCTGGGACAATATTTTTGGTAGAAGAATTGCCAAGTCAGTTAAAAAATGTTGAGTAAGTACTCTGTCAATAATGTATGTGCTAATTACGAATTCAAATTCAACTCGTGGACCTCAAAGTGAGCCATGCTTTTCAGAGTGGGGTGATCTGCTCTGGCCCTGGACATTGTGGAAGTCATTTAAGTTCTTTCTTCTCAGTGGCTGATCTTAATATTTATTTCCGGTGATAATGACTAAGGCTGTGAGGCTGGACCTTAGATAGAAGTAGGCAGGAGAGTTGAACATGGATGAGTTTTTAAATCAAATAAAGTTGGGATGAAACCTGGACTCAGACACTGAGTATCTGTGTGAGCTTTAGCAATTTAAACAGTCTCTCTGAGGCCTCAATTATCTGCAAAATCAAGGTAGAAATAGGGGGATCAGAGGATCAGTATGAGGTTTCAGTGGGGATGGCAAATACAAAGTCCTTTGAATAACAAGAAGAGTTAGTGCTCTTTCCTGCCTCATCTCCCTCCCTGGGTAACTGTTTTGACTTCAGGCAGAAATACCCACTTCTCAAAATATTTGAGGAGCATTACATCAGTGCTTGAGTATCTTGCCTTCATAAATATACTGTATACTCTACCCCTTCAATTAGTAAGAGTCTTTTGTCATTAAAGTTTTCCTATCTTTGAGCTCTGTGAATGACTCCTATGACTTTGGCAGACCAATAATACACTTTGCTTAGTATACCTTAGATTTGCCCAAAGATTTAACATCTGTGAAATCACAAATTTGTTGTTCTAATTACATACACATACAAGAACATACAGCTTTTATGATGTGCATTAAAACAAATAATTATTACAAGTTTGTGATTCATCTAAAATCATCTCACATACTACTACTGGTATGCCTGCAGTATACCAGCACAGGAATCCCAGCCCACCCAAGTAGCACGGGATTTAATACAGGGAATTAGATGCTTTCAAAACCACTGGCAGTGCTGGAGGACTAACCCTGGGGCTGAGCCTTCAGGATCACCTTCCATAACACTATAGAACTGATCTACCAAGATATTTGAATATCTATCTCATTAGTCATCAGAATCAGAAGATACTAACTACTATATATAAAACAGATAAACAAAAAGTTTCTACTGTATAGCACAGGGAACTATATGCAACACCTTGTAATGACCTATAATGAAAAAGAATATGAAAATGAATATACATATATATGTATAAATGAATCACTATGCTGTACACCAGAAACGAACACATTGTAAACTGACTATACTTCAATAAAAAAGGAATGCAAAAAAAAAAAAAATCAGCAGAAGGTTGGCTTTTAAAGGGTCCATCTCAAATATTTATTATTGCTAGAAAAATAACACATGATATAAAAATCCTACTCCTGGTGAATCAGAAGTGGCTTCTTTATTTATGAAGGACAACTTACTCACTCATTGATTTTCTTTTTCCTCCTATAATAGGTCTACGTCATGTTTACCTTGCATGTTTAATTGATTTTTAAAAATGTTTTTCCTTGTGATTTTTGTGTATTCATTTTTAATGATTATAAACAAAATGCTGTGACCTGTTTTTCACTTGATATTTTTCCATATTATTACATACTTTTGCAACCACAGAATCAAGAAAAAAGTGACTACAAAGACCAACAGTACTATGATAATTGATGTGCAGAGCTTCACACATATCTCTATCATAATTTTTAACAGCTTTGTTAAGATACACTCACCCATTTTAAGTTTTTTGGTGTATTCATAGAAGTGTACAACCATCACCAAAATCTCTATTAAATTTCATCATTTTACTTTTAACTCATTTTCCTGAATCTCATAATTCTGCCATTTAAATTGCTTATTCTTGCTTGCATGCGTGCACTCTGTCTCTCTGCTCCAATAAAACTGCACGAGACAGGGTTAAAACTGCTGCCAGGTGGCTGCAGGTTGAGATTACTCCATTCAGCAGTACTTTTTTGTTTAAAGGTAGAATAACGTAAATAAGTTATAAGACCACCTTAACTGTAATATCAATTGACACCAACTCAGGCAGCATGAAGAAAGAATAAAACAAGAAGTGTTCTGCCTGTCTATCTAGCTGGTAACCCCAAAAGAAAAGGAGATAAGTTTTGGCAGACATAACTTGCTCTAAATGCAACCATTTTATTTTTCCTAAGAGTTCAGTCCTAGAATTTGGCAATGACTGATATCAAATCTCCTGGCCTACAGTTTCAGCAATACATTCTCCACTCCCCAACTTAAGAAAAAAAGATCAAGATACAGTTTGTGCATGTCTAGTCTCTGGCATCTTCTTGTAAGCAGTGAGCTGTTTTATTTATTGCTCTGATGCTTCCTGGCACAGTAGGCCTTCAATATACGTATTTGTTGAGTGAATAAATGACTAACTTTAACAAAGATTTCTCAAAGTGTCATCACTACTTCTCTTACTATTTACTTTCGTAATAACTGTCACCTGCTAACTTCTACAGGTCCAACAGGCCTTATCTTAAATGGCACTTCCTTCGGAAAGCCCTCCTGATTCCCTACATAGACTAGCTCCTGAGCTCTACTCCCTCTCACACCACTCACTACTGATAAGAGCTCCATGAGGGAAGTTACTTTGCTCACCTTTGTAACCCCATCACATAGTAGGTGCTTAATCAGCATTTGTTGAAAAAATGAAGTAAACTGGGCTTAATTTGTCTCTGTCTAAAGGCAAGAACTCATTCCATGTAGCCAAGTATTCTTATACTACTATTGACCCATCATGACTTTCAAGTGTTCTTTTTTTTAAAAGAAACAACTTTACTGAGGCATAATTTACGTACCATAAAATTCACCCATTAAGTTCTTCTTACCTATGTCTTTCCTCTCTCATTTTCCATGTAAAGGTCATTTTTCTGATGGTAAAATGGGAAGCAAATTGAAGAATGTAGTGGAATTTTGGATAGAGAATGGGCTCTTTGAGGCCAATTTAGCTGGCTTTACTTCTCAGTTTTACTTTTTGTTTGTTGGGGGGGAGGTAATTAGGTTTATTTGTTTATTATTTATTTTTATTTAACTGGCGGTACTGGGGATTGAACCCATGACACTTCATGCATACTAAGCATGCCCTCTACCATTGACCTATACCCTCCACCTCAGTTTTACTTTTCAATTGTGATCTTAAAGCAAATTAACCTCTTTAAGCCATGAATTCGGAGCTGTAAATCTGAAGAATTTCTTCATTGGATCCTCTAAGGGTTAAATGAGACGACATGCAGAAAAATCTGATCCACTGTAGAGGTAACAACTCAAAACAAGCAGAACCCCTCCCTTCCCTCGGTCGTCTGTTACCTTGGATCCCCTAAATGGTAGGTCAGTTCTTTCACATCATCATTGTTTTGTTTGGAGTATATGTGAAAAAATACTCAACCTTCTGGCTTCCTTAGTATCCAGCAAGCTCCACTTCGCTCTAAGGTTTAGCTTTCCTGCACTATTCTTACAGATTTTGCTCCACTTTTTAGTCATTCTTAGGCATACGCTATTTGTCTTCACCTTTTGAATATGCTGGTAGAAAAACTCCAAATCCCCACCTGAGATCGTCAGAGAACAGCGGCTTCTCTGGTTGCCATTTCCTTTCTTCTTCACTGAGAGCGTTCTCATGCGAACTTAAAATTTTGTTTTTCAAAGCTTTCCATTCTTTTTAAAAAAATGCTTTTCCTTTTACAGCCTCTTGCCTTGAAATTTTACCTGTCTTTTCCCTGGATCTGTTTCCTAAAGTCTCTGACAGCCTGCCTTCTCTGTGTGTTGTATTACAGTCACATCCCCCAGGTCTCCACCGTTTCCCCAAGACCAACCAGTTCTTCCCTGGGAGTCACATTACATCAGCATTACTAATACAGTATCTGCTGTATTTCAGACTATGTTTTATTCTAGGCAGTCAATTAAAAACGAACCTCTGCGCTGGTTTGATTTAACATGGAGGATGAATTGTCTAAGGTCAAATGCAAACTGCTGCTGGACTGGGGAGACATATATTTATATTCGTATTAAATATATACCTGTTGAATTTGGGATTTTTCTCCATGCTTCAGAGACCCCCTAAGCTTTCGGGTAATTAGGACGGTCCAAAGCGTGGGTTTCCAGAAACTTCGCAAAAAATTAGACTCCATCAAAAGGACTGCTCCACACATTCAGGGAACACCCACCAACAAAACCCATCTCCACAACCACCAGATTATCTCACCAGCAAGTGAGACTGCAAGGTTTGGGGGCTTGGCTGTACCACTCCGCGCGGCGCATGGGGGGGTTCGTGCCCATTTGGCTGCGACTGACCGTTTCCCCTCGCTTGGTTTTGCCCCTGCTCCCCCCGCGCAGGCACCCACAGTGCGTCAGGCCGGCGCTTTATAGCGGCAGACTGGGCGGCTCCGCTCGCTGTTTTTCCTCTTCTCTGGGTCGTGGTTCCTTTCAAGGTTCGCGAAGATGCAGCTTAAACCGATGGAGATTAACCCCGAGGTGAGCGTCAGGTGCATCGTTATCCGGGGAGCGTGGGGCCGAGGGTCAGCTTCCCTCAGGTAGCTGTATCGCGGAGTGGTTTTATTTTTGTATTTTTCTTTGCATTTGCCTTTCAGATGCTGAACAAAGTGAGTGACGTCTCACGCTGCCTCCATCCCCCTCCCCCGGGAGAGCCGAGGAAAAGGCGCCCACCCGCTCCCGCTGTTTCGCAAGGACAGAGCGGCGCCCTGCGTGGTCGAGAGGCGGTGGGGCTGGGGCGCGGCCGGGGCGCCCCCCCTTTGCCTCTGCATCGGAGGCGGCGGTGACTGCGAAACCAGTTGGGGATGGGATGGAGGAGGCTGCGCCCAGATGCGAGCCCGGGGCCGAGCTCCCGAGGGCGTGGCGCGCGCCCCGCGGACTCGAGTGCCCGGGCGTCGCAGGAGCCAC